TTTGTGATCACATTTCTGCCTCCGAATACTGGAAGGTCCCAAGCTAGTTTATACGCTATTGAGTATATCAAAATATCCGGATAATACGGATATTCGAATAACTCGAATAGTATTATTCGTACTATTCGCTGCACAAAGTATCCGGAATATTCAAATACTATCCGTTAATCGAAGTTTATTCGTACATATATATTATATTCGAATATCCGGATATCCGAATCACACTGTTATTCGAATTTAAGCCGCAGCCCTAATATTCAGACTCTTCTCCTGTTGGCTCAATTACTTCTTTCACGCAAAACTCCCTAGGCGTACGGTCCTAAAAAGCTGCGCTACCTATGCTCTCTTCAAACTCACGCAACTGCTTCGCCCTCTTTTCCTCTCTTACTTCTGTGCGTACATCCAATCCAAGGGGCTCAAACTCGCTAGACAACGACTAACTTTCTTTTTAAAAATTGACAACAACTAACTTTTAACACTTCGTCATTAAAAATCAGGAAGTATTGTTCAATAAAGGTACATTACTAAAGCTCTGTAAAATTATTTCTGTAAAATTATAATTGTAAACTTATTGTAAGATTAATTCTAATGTAAACAAATACACAAATCTTAGTAACCCACTGAAGAAGGTTTAAAAATAAACCGAAACGTTTGGGAAAAAAACATTGCATTTCATTTATTGCACAACACCCAGCAAACGGTTCAAACTTGCCCGACTAAAATTGATAGAAATTCGCTAAGAACCCGATTTATCAACATCGTATCCTATACCTTCTTTTCTTTCCTCCACCATTCTGCTCTTCTCTACACTCACAATTACTTCTGCTTTGGTCTAAATTCTCTTAACCTTTAGAGCGCCGGAAAACGCCTAGAGGCGTAAAAAAATGAAATTTTTTTATACTCATTTTTTTTAAATCTAAATTGCTTGTAAATTCATGTGTAAAGGTTATCGATCTCTCCTAATATGATTCTGCATCCAAAAAAATTATATTCAAAATGGCGGATGCAATATGGTTAAGTTTTCGAGATATTTTCTGTTTCGATGTGAATTCCATTTGAAAATTATGTATAAGAGTTTTAGAAGTCACTAGTTAGAGATAAGAATTATGAATATACATATCTGTAAAAAATATATACCTTAGTTCAAATATTTTTATAGCTTTTGTACTTTTTTGGGTGCAAAGAAAATACTCTCCACTGCTAATTGGCATGTTTGGAGAAATAATCAATGGATGATCTTGACAAATAAGAGAGTTATGATATAAAAGTATTGTTACAGTACCAATAAATTGTAATAATTGATTGTGTCCGAACAGTCACAATAACACAGGTTTTAGGTTCAACTTGTTACTGCAGCGAATCTAATTATATAAATCAATGATCTACTTTAGATGTGGATATGGATTTCGGGGTTCTCGCCACCTAGCGGTGATTTTTGCTACTATTAGATGAATATTGTAAAATACGTTGATAAATGCTCAGCCAAACGGAAAAAATTTTTTAGAAAAAAAAAAAACTCAAATGTCGGTTGATAGCGCCCTCTATAATGTTTTCCAATCGATAATGATACAAACTGACTTTATTTGATCAGATAAAACATAAATAATGCTAAAAATAAAAAAAATAGTGCAATTGAATGTTTTTTTGAAATTTTGAAAATTTTAACATTCGGCCTTACCGTACCTGGCCGGGATACGCCTCTAGGCGTAAGGGGTCTGACTCGCCACCATTATCTTAACTTAGTTTGGCCTTAACTCAGGGACCTTAGACCACATTTCTATAGAAAAATACGATTTGCAAATGTTTCAAAACCCCGGCGCTCTAAAGGTTAAGCACACCAAGCACACATCTATACTGCTCACACTCCTCTAACCAAATCCTTGTTTAATTTTAATATTAAAGGTGTATAAAAAAACATATTGGAAATTTAAACATGTAAAATTAACACAATTAAATTGTTTTGTAAATAAGTACATAGTATAGGACGCGCGTCATGTGACTGACTGGATCGTTGACAGTGTAATATGTAGGGTATGTACAAAAAGTAGAATTTCATCGAAATTGTCACATAATTAGTGCATAATTAAAAATTAAAATATTTTTAATAAAAAACTATATGATAAAAAACTTAATAAAATTTTTAATAAAATAGTAAGGTTTTAATAAAATATTAAGTTTTTAATTAAATATTTTTATTAAAAAACTTAATGATTAAAAAATTATTACTTATTACTTATTATTTCTACATTACTTTTTGTTTAATTTTTTGTTTAATATATGTACTAGGCAGTGTTTGTTTTTTTTAATTTTATGGTGTGCAAACCATAGGTATTAACTGAAAAAATTCTGTTTAACTTTTTAATATAATGTGTTTAGAGTTATTAGAATAAAAAATTAAACATTTATATTTACACAAATTTTTTTTCTTAAAATCAACTTCAAACTTGATAACAAATTAAACAAAAATATTAATTTAGATTTTTTAAAATTTTTCCTAAAATACATTAATATTTTATGTTATTAAAGCATTTAAAAATTAAACATTTTTTTCAAAGAAGCAACATACTAAATCATTTTATTGAAAATTAATTTTATTTAGTGTAGCCAAAATATCTAACCGCTTACTTTTTGTTTAATTCGTATAATTTTTTATTTCATCCGCGCACATGTTGTTATTAAACTGATATAAAAAATATTCAGTCTGTGTGTGTGTCATAACACTCAGAGATAACATCATAAAAAACGCGATTATGAATTATGTTCAGCTAATCTATTTTTTTTTTTTTTTTTTGTTAATTTTTCTGGACTATTTGACATTTATCTCCGAGTTATTTGAGCTGCAAAATTTTTTTGATACTATATCTTGCTTGACTGACTCAAAGAAATTACAAATCAGTTTTTTGTTAAAAATTAATTTCAGAATCGTAATCTATCTCGCAAGTTTTTTGACAATAATTGGTTTGTTTGCAAAAAAATTAATTTCTGTTTTTCAATTTTTTAAATATTTAATGTTTTTATATAAAATTTATATAAAAAATTTTAAATCTCTCATATTATTTATAAAACAAATTACCAAAAATATTAAACTTGTTGAAATCTGTATAATCTAAATACAGTAGAATCTCGGTAACTCGAATCGCAAGGGAAAAGAATAAAATTCGAATTGTAGAGGTTTCGTCTTATCAAAGTTTCCGAGTAAACAGAGGTCGAACGAACGAAAATTTGACTTATAGATGCTCCGTGTATGAGTTTATGTTCTTCGACCGGCTTAGAAAATAAAAAATTAGAGGCTCAGAAAATAAAAAATAAAAATTCGACTTAAAGAGACAATGTAAATATATTTATTACAAATAAAGAAATTGTATGCGGAGTGACGCGACGGGGTACGGTCACACAATTGAGCCAAACAGCGAAACGCGGAAGCATCTTGCTAAGTGCACAAGTTGTCATTTTTGTTTCATTGTGTTACGGATCTATCGCTTCAAGTTATAGAGTGCAATAACAGAAGTTTGACTTACGGAAATACACTTCGAGTTGTAGAGGTCAAACAAAAATATATTCGAGTTACAGAAATAATTTATTATATAGTTCTCTCAAGAGAAATTCGAGTTGAAGGAAGTTTATGTCTCGAATTGCAGAGTTTTTGACATTGAAATGGAAGGGAACAAGCAAAAATTTTGCCTTACAGAGGTTTTCGAGTTAAGAAAGTTCAAGATAGCGAGGTTCTGCTGTATTATAAATATGTGTAATTATTGCGCATTTAGCTATATATCTATGCTGAATGAACTATGTACATCTAAATTTTTTGACTTCTCGCGTGAGCCATGTCCAATAAATCTGAAAATCAATTTTTATAATACACATGTAAAAACATGTGAACACACACACACACACACATATATATATATATATATATATATGTATACATGTACATATAAAAGTATATTTTAGCATAACATCCTGCAAAAACGGCTCTTATGACTTTATTCATATTTTCTCAATTTTTATAGTTGCCAATCCTAGTTTTTTGTGCAAACGAGGCAAACAGAAAATCTAGTATATTTCAATTCCTGTCGGAACTCCTTCAGCAATATTGTACTTCTACTCTGTGTTTCCTTGATATATTTTGAAGCAATACATCCATTCTCAATTGTTTTCTCGGGAATATCTTCGTTCCCCAGGTAATAGAAATTGCTGATAAGAGCAGGATGAAGACGGCGCACGACTTATTGGAAGAAAAGATCGAAGAGAAACGGTATTCTCATTTTTGTTCTGAGAGATGGACATCGACTTGATAAAGCTATGTAGGACTCCCGCAGGAGGTACTGTCGCAATAACTGTTTCATGCTCGCGTGACAAGAGATAAGCCATTCACATAGCAAATCGTGCAAAAAAAGAAATAATAAAATAAAATAAAATTAATCTTTTCTAAATTAGAGATTATTGAGACATATCTATCTTTATGATGTATGTATTTTCGCTTAATGCACACACACACACAATAAATGTTCTTCATCAATTCAATTCTTGTATCAATGCAATAAATGTTCTTCATTTTTTATCGTAAAATTCAGATGACCTCGAAAAAAGTAATCTCTTTCGATTTTTAACGATGTATGAACAACTATCATTCTTTTTTTCATTCTTTGTCATAATTTTGCACGCAAATATCGGTTAGAGATCTATGGAGCGAAAACGACGCAATTATATTATACAATCCAATTACCGAGCAACGGCATCATCCAACATGGTCGGCTATCATGCCCGAACAGTATTGTATGCGCATTACGCACAATACTGTGGGTATTTATTGAAATTTGCGTTGTCTCCAATCAACGAGCCGTGAATTTTGTGATCGGCTGATTGACAAGCGACGCTAGGCGTCACGCGCTAACTAGTGCAGCAATGCGCGAATGCAAAAACAATACGCAAGTGATGTCCTCGCGGACATTTTGCATCACACGGAAAGATTTGCGCGCGCACTGCGCTGTTTTACTTACATAGCAGGTATCCTTGCCGCCTTTCTCCCAGCCGGCGCACATTTGCTTCGATTCCACGTGGATCAATTTGTTCTGATTCGCGTACCACTCGTTGCACTTGGTATTTGCCACCACGCGAACGTCTACTTTCTGCAGTATGTCTGCCCTCTTGTCTGAAACATAAAAGCAAGAGGTTACAATATACGTCACACTTTTGCAAATAAATTAGCAACGTTCTCGCGCGCTCCTAAAGATCATTGTCCCAAAGCAAGATATGATTCTTGTGTTGAAGCACTTAAGTTCGAACTTGTTACTTGCGACTTGTTACGCTCTTCGCGTCAACATTGCTTACAGCTAAATTCAGTTAAATAAATCCTTCTTTCTACATAAAAGATTATGATAATGAGGCAGCGCACGAATCCTCGGTAAGCTAAACTCGTTTAATTTGTTATTTTGCGAAATTCTAGTCGTGAAAAGATAATTATAAAAATAATTACTAAGCTAATAATAGTGCTTTTATAATAGATCAATAAAAGATATATTGTGTCTAAAGCTAAATGCAAGTGTTACATTGTAAATATAGAATGAAAGTCTTGTTGTATATTGACAAACATTGTTTATGAAAAGCCGTGAAATATTCCAATAAATGGATTTAATTAATAATAATTACTACGCAATTTTATAAAATGTAGTATTTTGATAGTATTATAGTGAGTAAATTGCTTCATTAATATTATAATATAAAGATTTAATTAATAATTAGTTCCATTTAATAATTAGCTATATTTTCAAGGTAATTACAGGGCAATACATGACCTGTAATTTCGCGATTTCTTTGTACAAGATATTAAATACTCTTTCGTTCTTCTACGTATTATTCATATTCAACATCTTATTACGATTACAAATGATCTGATAAAATTTGTTGAGAAATGTAATAAATAAGTTTATCTCATAAGTAAAGTGCATTTAATAACTTCTAATTTATAGCTAGATTGACCTTCGTTATTTTATTGATTCTACACGAGCCGAGAATACTTCCTCGTGGTACTTACACGCACTTGCGAAAACTTTGGTGATTATGGAAACTTCGGCGCGCTGCGATCATTATCGTGATAAAATTTATCGAAACTCCAAACTTACCAGTGTATCTCAAATATTTACGAAAACTTTAACATTTGCAATTTCGACGATTGAGCAGATTTTACGCTTATTCATAAGGGCTCTTCTAGCTCTACTCGCTTTATCTTATCTTATCTTATCTTATCTTATCTTATCTTAAGATATGCCATCACATAATAGCTCTAAATGAAGAAACTATGTTTACCGAGATATATCGAAATCCGGGAATAGTTAACAGGAATGAACTGATTTTTCGAAGATATCGCCGTCTTCTTCTGCGTAATCAGTATCGAAAAGAGAGCAATTATTTACTTACATTTATCTCTGTTTTCTCCGAGCCAGCCCCATCCGGCTACCACAGCTTCCGCCTCGCTAAAGGCACTGTATCCCGGTTTTCCTGTGGCCACAGGTAAACAAGCGGGTTTCACGCTTTCCGACCAAGTGATCGATCTGGCAAGTTCCAGCAGCGCGATATCGTCTACGTACTTGCCGCACTTGTAATCTGGATGTATCACTGCGTTTATGACGACCTCCTGTCTCGCGGCCGGCACCTCCGAACCTCTTAAATTGTGTTTGCCTAACCAGACGCTCAATTGTCTCACTGGAATATTGCCTGTTCCGCTAAAATTAAAATGACGACGAGTGTTATTTGCGAATATATTGCTCGACCAAACTCGAGGAAAAAATGCGAAATGCGGAATGGAACAATGCGTCAATTGTAACAGTAACACATAAAAAGTCACGTATCTCTCTGTGAGCCAGAACTCGAAATATCTGACGTACAAAAATATTTATATATCTATATCATAAAAGCGAGCAAAACGTTGTGCGCATCATGAATACATCTATGCGCGCGCGCATACACACACACATAAGACGATGAATCTTTTTCTTTTTACGTAAATGCAAGTCTGACATATGTGACGAATAATCATCGCGAGTAATATCGAGAATGCAGAGCGTATGCATTTTAGGGCAAGATTTCCGGTTGTCGATACATCTTGCTATTCTTCCGCTTCAACTAACAAATTCTTCTTTTGTAATTTCTTTCCCCAGAACGTCGGTAATTATTTAACTGGGATTTTTGTTCCACCCGAACAACGCGCTCGCGTCTGCAGAGCTCACTTGAATACCTGACCCGACCAGAGTGGCTTCAGTTAATTAATCGGTCTACTGTGCTTCTGAATAATTAACAAAATTACGACACCCTCTTCACAAAGACTTTCCACTCCATTCGTATCGTGCTTTTCTCTTCTCTTTCTTTTCTCGTCACTGTGTTCCAATCTTTCCCCGTCGTCTTACTTTTGTCAGCGGCCTTTCGCTCCTCTCGCACATCTTTCTTCTGGGTTCTTCTGGAGTTTATCGCGGAGCGTTTTCTAAGTTTCCATGCCCTGTTTCGTCGCCGCTCCTTACAAAACCGTCTTAATGGATCTTTCCATCGTCGCCGAGAGTATCCCGCTATTGTCTCATGGCTGCAGATTATACGGTTTACTTTCAATGCATCTCCCGGGCGTCTTCTTCTCGTCGATGTCGCGCCTTTCCAATTAAAATGCGCGAGTGTCTCGAGCGTAGCGCATCGTGGCAAACTTCCGCGTGATCGTGACTTAATTTTTTCAGCCAAGTCAATGTTGATTGTATTAAATGTTTGTCTTGCAAAGAGATGTGCGCGCAAATTGCAAAATGCATGCGACTTACACAATAAACGAGATATCCCAATTTGTTTAATTAATTGTTAAGTATTTCACAACACATGTCTGTGCTACAACTAATAGTGGTTCGCATTGTTTCGTTATCCAAGACGGGGATATCTACTTTTCTACACATATACCAGAAACTTCGTGAAAAATTAATTAACAAATCAATTAGGATTAATTTTCTAGTTCGGTTCGTTAAATCGTGCGGCTGTCTCGGTACCGCGCTATACCGATGTCGGGACACGCTTGTGAATAACGCAATGTTGCGCAGAGAATGACGTTAGCAATAAGGTACCGCTAAACAGTAATTTACCGTGCGATATCGTTGAACAGGAAATATCGACGCCGCGTCGCTAGGCTGCCAGTTCTTGTATCACTATCCGATGAAAATAATTCATACCTGCTTGCGAGACAATTAATCAACAATATTATTCACGGCGCGCATTGTATTAATAGTAATTAGGCGTCACGTCATCAATCCAATAGAATGACGGATTATAATTTGTTTAATTATTCTCTAATCCAGGTGCATTTTGTAATACGATGTTGATGTAATAGATTTTGGAAACCTCTTATTTTAATTTAAATTCAACTCCATTCTTTTTTTTTAAAGAAATAACTAATATTTCGCAATTATTCTTCTTTGATGATAAAAAATTACCGAGGTTTAGTTTCCATAAATTTCACTAACAAGTGTAACACTCTAGGTGCTAAATATCGTTGCAAAAGTTGCAGAAATTTACACATAAACGATACAAAAACAGAGAGAAAAAAAGAAAGGTAAAAGAGAATACGATGAATAGATACAGTAGACACAAAATCCTCATTTTCACACGTCCACCCATCTTGCGTCTTGTTGTAAAGCTTTTCCATATGTTTTGCATGGCCGCTAGCAATTACCGAGTAGTCTGTAATCTACACGCAATCATGGTTTACAATGCCAAAGCTCGGATTCTCTCCGCGGTCGCTCTTGCTCCCTATCGCCCCCTTTCTATCCCGCGCTTCTGTTGCAATCTGTTTAGTGACCGAAAGGGATACGCAATATCTGCACGTTTTGTTGCCCGCCCAGCTATAGGTGCAATATCTGCTCGCTCGTTTAATTATATCTATATGAAAGCTGTCCCATACATCCTCGCCGCAGTCGTGTACGAACTCGTCTGCCACGTGCAGTGATACACTGCCTGGGAGAAAAGTGTTTACGTTAGAGATCGCAGTTGCATATTAAAAAAACAAATATTTATGTTTAGTATTTCCACAATTTTGTCTTGAAATATAATTCCTTTTAGTGCCAGTAGTTTAAACTTTCTTTTAACAGGAAAAAATTATGCTATTAATTTTTAATGAGATTATGTTTTTATTTATACTTACGAGCATAAACAATGCGCAGCTGTCAATATAAATTTCGAGTTGAGAATAGAGCCGCCGCAGAAGTGTCCGCCTTTTCTTGTTATGCTCACGAGAAATGGAAATTCACGTGGCGTCGCGTTCTGACCTCCAACAATTCTCCCATTTCGTATCTCGCTTCTACCACACGGAACATCTGCCACTATAGTATCAAATACGGATTTTCTTATTATACTGTTTGATAACGATTAATTGCTTAAGTGATCTCTAGTAGGTCTAACCATTTCTTCGCTCGAAGTTGTCTCAATCAATAGTTATATGATCTTGTCTGCTCAATCTCGATTCATTTTTTCCACTTTTATACGCAAGAATAAAACAAAATTGAATGTCACAGTTTTTTTATTTTAGTAATTGACAAATATTTTCTTAATGAGATTAATGCAAAGTAGTATATATTTTCTATTATTTTATATTTATGTGCATAAGAAAATTAATAGTAGCGGTCGATCCAAAATAGCAACATCTACTGTCAATAACTGTCGATAGATTGTTATATCACAGACAGTAATCATGAATTATTAGTAGTAATTATTAGTAGTAATTAGCAACAATTAACTTGCATCAATTATAGTAAATTGATTTGGTTACTGCGAGAAGAATTCGGAAATATCTGGTTTAAATAGATAATTAATAGGTATAAATAGAATATAAAATTAAACATTTGTTTTATTTTTGTAAAATATTTTTTTCTAAACCTTAGGAAAATTAAGTTTTATTTGCAAAAAAAACATTTATTTATGCTTTTATGATTGATATCCTTTATAATCGAAATTGCATCCTTATTTGTAAAGGAAACAAGTAATCAGTTCGAACAGAGTTTGCAAGTTGTAATTGAGAAACATTAGCAATATCAAACTAAAAGCTCTTGATAATTACTATCTCTTATCTTCGCATATAAACTCCGTAAGAATTATCTTCTTAAAACCCACCCACTCCTTCTCAACGCGGCGCTATGCTGCAGCACAACGTCTGTTAGCGGCATTGCGTTTAATTGAAACCCAAATCGCCACGCTACCGGAATGTTAACCGATTCGAGTGGATCCTCTCTGGTGGCGGCACGATGCTGGGCGTCGCGCGAATTTAATGCCCCGAGCAGATAGGGACAGATACGGCGGATCTGTCACTACAATCCCTGCGACGCCCTTGCTGCCCAGCGCGCGTCGAATCCCAGTTGCCTCTTCTCTTTGTGATCTTCCCTTTCCGCTCTTCTCTCTCGAACGCACCCACGGATCGATGATTCCCCTCTCGTTTCACGCCCCGACTGATTAATTGGACCTCTACGGCAGCACTACCACAATTCCTATCTCCGTCGCTCTTCCACCACCACCATTGAGGCGCGGAAAGGACGTCACTGCGAGAGGAGTGCGCCATGAAGAGAGAAAGAGAGAGAAAGAGAGAGTAGTTCGAAATCGTCTCTATACCGAAACGCGTAATAGATATGTCAAAACCAGCCCGGAGGGGACACGATCATGATAATACGAGACCGATGCCTCGGTTTTGGTGACCGTTTGGCGCGGGAGGCGTTTATCCTTCCAGTTCAGATCGGATTGTGTTCGAGAAAATGTCGAAAAAAAAAACTCATTCTTCACGTGGTTTTGAGAAAGTCCGATCGTGGCTATAAATCGACAGCGCTTCGGCATGCAAAGTTACAGCTACGCGAATCCTATGAGAACATAACATTATACGAAGCAAAACAACGTCGTCGATTGAATAAAGCGATTGACGCGATTTGATTAATTAGCGAGTGTCAATCTATCTTATACGTATCTTGATGAAAGACATCGACAAAGTTTGACAACTTTAAATCAGTTATAAGAATCTCGTTTTAATTTTTAGAACAACCTAATTATAATATTAAGCATAAAATAGAGATATAGTAAAGGTGAAATTTATAGAAGGCAAAAAAAATTCTTCAATAATTGCAAATCTAGTTAACGTTACTTACAACGCTTTCGCGTGAAATGCCTTTTTTTGTACACGTATGTCTATTTTGTATACGTAAGATTAAGTTTCTGCTTGTGATACTGATTCTCTGCCAATAATAATATAAAATCTGGAGACACAGTTACGCGGGCATCTGCCGAAACAATTTCGAAGTCAATATCTCACCTAGAAAACTAACAAGATAAAGAGAGTGCTCTGTAGAGATTACTCAGTATAATTATATCAAGTATTTTTTCTGGACAATTCAAATACACAGAAATTCAAAATCTAGTGTAGTTACATTTAACGTGACGCTCATCGTGAAACGCGTTAAAAGCGATGAGTTCTTCAAATTTCATCACACAAAATCTTAATTAAAAATATTTGAATCTTATTGTAATAATTTTTACTATTTACCTTACACTTAAATATCTTTTTAATAAGTACGTGCGACAGATTATTTTTTTAAGCAACAAAAAATGGTGTTTTGCACAAAACTAACATAGCAATCTCGTATTATTTCTTATTTTTATATCGATGTTTATGAAAACAATTATATTATATGATATATGATTATAAATTTTATCAAAAAACAAAAAAACAATTTTTAATATCCTAGTCTGTAAATGTTGCTGATATTATTGGAAAGTGTAATTAATGAATATCTCTTATCTTTCTCTCTTGATAAGCCATAGAAGTTTACAGAACCTTCGTATGACTGCGAAGTTAATTAAGAACCACTCTAATATCATCTGTCATTATGTTGAATGATTGTTGACAAAGAGTTGTTTATTGATTTAGTTGCTCGACGAGATCTTAACTTCCTTTCGGCCTTCAACAAGGCCATCTATCTATTTTTACGTAACAGCTCGGGCAAAAACTGTTTTTTTTTAAATAGCCTTCATCTATTTGCATGACTATACTACGTTTATCTCAGCTGTTGTAACAATTTCGAGCATTTATTTACTGATAAAACAGATTTTTAAATTTTTGATACGTTTATACAACGATCATTATATCCGTGCAACTGCAACGTAATGCGCGCAGTTGTGCGATGACATAATTTGCTTGTTGATCAATAGAACAGTGTTCCGAATCGAATACTTTATATGAAAAATGTTTTTTCAGGTAATACCGATTATCTTTTATTTACAAATCGCTGAATTCAAAACGAGTTAACCGAATTTTGAGGAAATATTTTAATAACGCATTCAGAAGATATACATATATTTGCACAAATAAATAACATAACTCTCCGGACGGAGAATTTCGAACAATAATATAATTTGTTTAATGGGCACACATGCTGATTACAAACTGTCGAGTGATAATAATTATTAAAATTTTATTCAGTCAGCGACAGTATCAAGGATTAATTATTTTTAACATCGTCGTGTGCCGCGCTCACGCTATGTTGCATAACCACGATAGTTGATTATCCAGTCACGTAAAATTAATGCCCATAACGATCAATGTAATTGTTCAGCGAAGGAATGACCTGATAGACAGCTGTCGATCTGATGAATAAACAACCGTACCTCACTTCCACATAATATAAAGCCTAAATATTTGATGAAAGTGACGTTTTATTGCCAGATAAAACAAATAATTAGCTTTATTAACTCACCCGCAACCATCAGCGCTTTTCCGACCTCTCGTCTGATGTTTTGCGTCAAAGAGTGAATTGTAAACGAGGTAATGACACACTACACAATCTGCATTATATACCGCGGGTCGCGCTGTTCAAATAATCTATTAACTCCGTCTCTGGCACGAGAGGTTTTGGAAAACGTAAAATCAATATGAAAAAAACAATTTTTTGCGACGTGTAATTCCATCATTCCATGTTTTTTGCATGCACTTTATCACCGATCGTTCAGACGATCGGTCGGTCGGTTGGTCGGTTGGTTTGGTGAATTCTGACACGCGGAATGAAATATTTGCTCGCTTCTGTACCTACTTGTTTGAATAAAATGGGAATTTTGTCAATATTACAAGACTCGTTTATAAATCCCAAATTTGTCGGAAATTAGATTTTGGAAAATCGAGAATTTCTCGTAAAAGAATTTATTTATAAAGAATATCTGGAAATAGAAAAGGTTTTTTATATATAACGTTTTTTACATATAATTTTTATATATAAAAACACGTTATATATAAAACGTATTTTACTAATCCGCAATTTTACCGTATTGAAACAATATTTTACAAAGAATCAAAGTAAATTTTGCAATTTGTTATCAAGACTCGAATTAAATAGACAGCATTAGGTGACCAGCAAAAGACATGATGTATTCGTAATCAGATGAATTACACGCAGGATTACAATTATGTAATTAACTCTCTATTAGCCATATTCATTCAATATAAAGTACATATTAGCATTTAGCCATTGTTGTGTAACGCACAAAATATTCAAATTTCTAATAAAAGCGTAGAATCTATTACAAAATATTTCCTCAGGAGGAATGCCTATAAATTAAAAGTAAATACTGAGTAAAGTCGTTTTATGTCACGTAACTTAACTATAATTTGTTTTTGTAGTTAGTATTTTGATAAATAGTTTTGAAGTGATTTTGCATTATATTAATTGAAATTATTACATAATGACTTTAGCTATTTAAAAAGCAAATTAAATATAAAACAAATATTGCTTATTTAACTGTAATATTTGTTCGAAACTATAAAAATCTATTTTCGCGTCATAGTTAATATTACATTTTGCCCATTTCTAGTCGTTCATTCTATCGCCAATTCACTCTTGAGTATTAAATGGAAAGCGACGCGAGACGACGCAGAGAGTGAGCGTTACGTTAATGGTAAATACTAAGTTTAGTTTATTAACTTTCGGTGTTCTAGAGTAATCCGCAAGCTTCTATTTCAAATTCTCTATTGACTTCCGCTCACCGTTTAGTTTTCTGGCTCAATGGATACTACCTTGTAGTAGAAAAGCTCGAAGTAAAAGGGTCGTTGCGGGCCGCATGACGTCGCAAAGTGGATCGAAACTTTGGAAAGAGCGGACATTACACTTGTAAAGACAAAATAAAACAAATAAAACAATATAATTATGCACATATATGATCTAAAAGTGTGTGCCTTACCAATTTAAATAATTGTTAAATGTCATATTACAAATTTGTTTTATAAACAAGCATCTACCGCCGGCATTAGTATTAACCAATATGCACCACGAGGAGGTTGCATGGTCGAATTTTGCAT